CTACCAATGATTTGAACATATCTATTTTGACTCACACTGTGTTGTGTATTTTTCTTAAGTTGAGTATTTCCATCATAAGGAGTTGAGATAGGTTTACTGTCTAAATACCCAAATTTTCTTAAGAAATTTTCAACATAGTGTTGTTGTGATAACTTAAGACCATCATTTATCTTAATGATTTTAATCCCAAGAATAACATTTGCCTCTCCCATATCTTTCATATCAAAATTTGAGGATAGAAACTCTTTAGTCTTAATTATCACATCCATATTAGCATTAAATATTAACATGTCATCAACATAGAGACATATTATCACATAAGTGATGTCTTCAAATGATTTAAGATATACACATTTATATGAACCATTAATTGTATAACCATTTGAGACTAACACTTGGTCAAACTTCTCATGCCATTATTTTGGTGTCTGTTTAAGTCCATAAAGAGACTTTACTAGTTTGCACACTTTATGCTCCTTACCTGGGATAACACAACCCTCTGGTTGTTTCATATAAATTTCTTAATCTAGGTCTCCATTAAGAAAAGTTGTCTTTACATCCATTTGATGTATATGTAATTTGTAAATTGCAGCTAAAGCAATTAACACTCTAATTGATTCTATTCTTGTTACAGGAGCATAAGTGTCAAAATAATCTATGTCTTTCTTTTGTGTATAACTTTTGGCAACCAATCTTGCCTTGTATTTATCAATTGATCCATCGGTCTTTAATTTCTTTCTAAATATCCATTTGCACCCTATTGCTTTAGTTCCTGGAGGCAAATTAACTACTTCCCATGTATGATTACTCATAATGGACTCAATTTCATTATTTACTGTATCTTTCCAAAGGGATGCATCACGAGAAGTCATTGCTTCTTTATAAGCCTGAGGATCATTCTCTATAAGAAAGACATAGTAATCATCACCAAAACTTTTGGCTTTTCTTACTCTCTTACTTCTTATTTTTAATTTTGAACTTTCAGAAGAATTCTGAAGAGTTTCATTTTGAGGAGAACTCTCAAAAGTTTCATTTTGAGGTAAAGCCTTTTCACAATTGATTTTCTTAGGAAAACATTCTCAAAGAAATCTGCGTTTTTAGATTCAACGATTGTGTTTGCATCATACAAACCAACCTCTTGCTTGATTACCATAAATCTGTAAGCAACACTGTTCTAAGCATAACCTATAAACATACAATTAACAGTCTTGGGTCCTAACCTTTTCCTTTTAGGTTTAGAATTAGGACTTTAACAAAACACCTTCACACTTTAAAATATTTCAAGTTAGGTACATGACCTTTCTAGAGTTCATATGGTGTTTTGCTTGTTTTCTTAAAAAGAATTATATTTTGTATGTAACAAGCTGAAAGCATTGCTTCCCCCCAACAAATTAAAAAGTGCTCCAAAACTAATCAACATAGCATTCACCATTTCTTTTAAAATTCTGTTTTTCCTCTCAACAACTCCATTAGATTGTGGAGAATAAGGACGTGTAGTCTCATGTATAATACTATGATCTCTACAAAAGGAATCTAAGTCATATGACTCATATTCACCTCCTCTATCCATTCTTAACCTTTTAATTTTCTTATTGAGTTGATTTTCAACTTCATTTTTATAAGTTAAGAACATTTTAATTGTTTCATCTTTACTTCTCAATAAGTATACTCTAGTATATCTAGAGTAATCATCAATAAAAGTTATATACAACTTTTTTCCTCCTCTGGTAATGGTTTGTTTCGAATCTCCAAGATCACTGTGAATTAAACCGAGAAGCTCATTTTCCCGTTCTAGAACTGGTTTACAAGTCTTTTTAGTGGATTTAGATTCCACACACATATCACATTTATCAATATTTGAAATATTGACATTTGATAATAAACCAAGTTCTTTCATCTTTTTCAGATTACCATAATTTACATGACCTAATCTACCATGCCATAAATCTATTGAATCAATAACATAAGCAGAAGAAGATGCATTTTCATTCATAATAATATTAAGTGCATTGAGTTTAAATAACTCTCCAGAACAATACCCCTTCCCAACAAAAGCCCGACATTACAATTTTGTCACCCTCAAAGGAGACTTTCACTCCAACTTTTCCCTATATATAAACAGATACAAGATTATATCGAATGTTTGGAACATATAAAACATTACTCAGTGAGAGGGTTTTCCCAGAAGTAAGTTTGAAAAGAATTTTCCATTTTCCCAAAATAGGAGTAGAGCGAGAATCACCAAGGTAAACACATTCTTCTTCATCCCTCACTGGTATGTATTCATAGAAAGAATTTCTATCTCTACAAATATGCTTTGTGGCCCTATAATCAATTATCCATTCTTTCTTTTCAGCAGCCATGTTCACTTGTGAGACAACCATAATAGTAATAACATCATCTTCTTCAGCCAGATTGGCTTTAGGAGGATTTTTGTTGTCTCCAGTTTTTCTATATCTGCATTGGTTACCAAAATGTCCAGTTTTCCCACACACAAAACAATGTCCTTTCTTTTTGAAAGTGTTGGGCTTTTTGTTGTTAAACAATTTCTTGTTATTGTTCTTAAAATTCTGCGGTTTCTTGTTCTTATGTTGAGGAGGAACCACTTGGTTTTCAACAACATTAGCCTTGGATGTCAATTCCTTAGCCTTCTCGACTTTATCTCTAAGCCTATTCGTCTCCTCAATCCTAATATGTACTATCACATCTTCTAAGCTCATTTGCTTCCGTTTATATTTCATACTATTCTTATAATCTCTCCATGAATCTAGAAGTTTCTCAATTAAACAACCAGCCACAAAAGTTTCAGGAAGAATTATTTCTTCATTTTTCAAGTCATTTATCAATAAATGATAGTCATGGACTTGCATGAATACCTCTTTTTCTTCTACCATTTTAAAATCTAGGAAGTTTCGTATGGCATATTTTTGTGATCCAGCATTCTCAACAACATATTTCTTTTTTCAGGATTGTCCATGTCTCATGTGCAGTCTTATAAGCGTAATAAACACCATAAAGCTCATTTGATAATATACTGAGAATAGTATGGCAACATACCTTATTTCCCTTCTTCCATATATCAAGTTTTTTGTCAAAATTGTCCACTCCAGGTTTTGGTTCTTCTGTTGAGAGATACTCTGCAAAATCGAGCACATCCAGAGAGTCGAATATTTTTTCTTGCCACCTCTTGAAATGAACTCCGACAAAAGGCTCGATTTTTGAGATGTCAGGAAGTGATTTGGCAGTGAGAATTGCAGCGTCCGTCTTGGAAATTTTCGATCTTAAGATTGTTGAAATTTAATACAAATTAGTAGCAAAACTGTGGAAGAATAGCAACAAAATAGCAGAAGAACAGTAGTGAAACAACAGGAAAGTAGCATGAGAACATAAAAAAAAATCGCAGAAAAAATAGCAGAGAGACAGCAACAAAACAACAATGTTATAGCAGTGAAACAACAACAAACACAACAGAAAAATAGCAGTAAACAGCAACAAAATAGCAAGGATACAACAGCATCAAGGCATGCAAAAGAATTGTCCTTAATATCAGAATTTCGCCCTTACTGGAAGAATCTTCGTGGTGCAAAAAGGCTCAACAGTAGACTGACCGTCAGGATACAATGAAGAACTTCTAGTTAAAGACCACTCTTTAACATAAGCTTAGAATAGTATGAGGCAACGTAGAAGTGATGAAGGAAAGCTGATAGAATAAAGATGCAAAAGCAAAAGTGGATTCTATTGAGTGGAAAGATTGTACATCAAAAGAGAATAAACACCCTTTTTTGTACTTGACAATCCATTCATAACAACCCAACTTTTAATTCTGTAACAGCCATTATAATTGCCGCCATTACACTCCAAATTAATATAAGAAGCTGTCATGCTTTGAATTGTAGTAACCGAAGCAATTTGTTTTCAAATAAAACAAAAAACTGCAATTACTTTTAATTGCATAACAGTCCAAACAATTGGGATTTTGAAATACCAATAACGGCTCAGCTTTTATAACATGGTCGTCCATTGTTTTGATATAGCCCAAAACTAAAATTAAGATTGTGCCCTAAAATTTGTTATTGTTGGATTCGGTTTGTACAACAACTTTGGCATAATTCCCGACTTTATTGCTCTTTTTATAAGAAGATTATGAGACATTAAATAACCTTAAAGGGTTGGTCTGGTAGTCAAAGAGATTTATTCTATTTTTTGAGTTTTTGAATTCAAATAGGGTCATCAGACTTGTACGATATTTAATAGATGTGAGAGATTAATCGAGAAAGAGACATTAAATAAATGTACAATCAAAGTAGGAATTAAATCTATCACATTTTTTAAAAAGTATGGTTTCTAGCTCAAAAAGAGAAGTCATTATTCATTCTCTCTCTCTCTCTCTCTTCGTAGTTGTAAATTAGTTTTAAGAGATATTTTTAGAATTTTAGTGTTGTTATGGTACCGTTTAATAATGGATTAGAAGATGAGGTGCCAGTGGCAACAACCGTCCTTTCCCTCAACTTGCGCACATAATATCAACCAATTTGGACAGTGACTTACGAGGACGCATTTTGTCAATGTCAAGCATAAAGTTTGTGGGGTCTAGTTATTGATTATATTCAAAGTCTCATCCCCTCATAATTCACCAAGGAATCTACGGATTCTAGAATCCTTCAAGAAAATGCAACTTAAATGAATTGGATTAGCTTATGATTGTAACACGTTTGGTGTCAGAAGCTCCGCTTCAGATATTTGTACTACTGAAGATTTGTGCTTTAAGAAAATGAACGAAGAGAATCCAGGATTATCTTTGACTTAAATTTTTGGTTTAACTTTATGCCTTATCAAGTCATACTGAATGTGAATTATTTATGACCACCCGCAAGTAACCATAAGACGGGCATTGGCTTTCCCGATCCCGAGTTAAATAATATTAACCGTGCGAAGTCGTTTTCATTTAAAGAACCATTATCAATAAAATAAAGCGAAAATCCACGGAACTCAAAGTCAAAAACAATCGAAACTGCCGCCTATAAGTCTCGATTCCTTTTGTTCATTTATCAACATCTTTAAGACTGAAATTTTGTTGAGACAATCAAGTATAAGGTTGTTAGGATGGAAGGAGTGAACATGAAAAAGAGCGAGGGCAAGATTGTGGTAGCAGTGGATGAGAGCGAGGAGAGCATGTATGCACTTTCCTGGTGTCTCACCAATCTATTTTCTCAAAGTAGCAATAGTACTCTTGTCCTCCTCTACGTCAAACCTCCACCTCCTGTCTACTCCCCCTTCGATGCTGCAGGTTAATTACCACCCTATTCATTCTTAATTATTTATGTTTTTAAATTTAGACAAAATTCTGGCAAATCCAAAACCTATGATTTCATTACATTTCAGTTTATATGAACATTTTTTTTAATAAAAGACTATTCTGTAGGTTATTTTAAGTGATTTTTTTGCCTTTTTTTTTTTTTTTTGGTTTCATTTTTTCATATGACAGGGTATATGTTCACTAATGACGCGGTAAAGACCATGGAAAAATACGGAAGTGAAATGGTGAATTCAGTGATGCAACGAGCTGAAGCTGTGTATAGCAACTTCGGAAGCAGTGTAATCTTCTCGTCTCTTATTTTACAATTTCCTTTTTATTCAAATCATTGAAAAATGAAAATATATCTAAATGATTATCAATGTACTTTTTTCAGATAAATGTTCATAGAGTAGTTGGATGTGGAGAAGCCAAGGATGTGATATGTGGTATTGTGGATAAACTTAGAGCTGACACCTTGATCATGGGAAGCCACGGTTATGGTTTCATCAATAGGTATCACTTTTGAACTATCTCAATTTTATTTTAGTAGATAAACTGTCTAATGCTAATGCTGATTATTTTAATAGGGCTCTTCTGGGAAGTGTGAGTGATTATTGTGCCAAGCATGTCAAGTGTCCAGTGGTAATCGTGAAGCATGGGGAGGAGATATGAAATTAGTTTTTATTCCTTAAATATGATGAATGATTCTAGCTTTCCACAAGCACATGTATAAAGTTATAACAGAGTGTGGGTGATCTGCAACTGCTTGAATAGTTATGATACTTGCTTGTTCTTGTCTGATTCCATTTGTAAACAAATCAAATCGTGTTCTTTGGTAATCTTTGATACTTTTTCTAACACACAAGAAGATAATTTGTTATCCAATGATTTGTGCTCCTGATAGCTGCAGATGTTTACATCTTGGTGGACTCAAGACCACATTCATCGAAAGATATTTTCCTATTTTGTATTTTCCTTTTGAAAATTGGGAACGGGGCTAGCTAGCTTTTAGGATGCCTGGGTCCAAAGTGAGCCCATCAAAAAGGAAAGCCTAGTGAAACCAAACATAAAGAAACTGAAGGCTAAAGCTACAGGACCATAGGCCCCCTTCACCATCAAGGCATCAACAACAAAGGCAACTGAAATCAGCTTCTTCGTAAATCCGGAAAGTACATCGCCCATTGACGAAGCCAAACTGCTGAACTGACATGTGAAAGCCTGAACAGTTAATACAAGTTCAATTGTTCATATTAAAATGATCTTTGCAAATTTCAACCTATTGGCACAGGAAGGAAGCCATTGTACAACACTTTATTACATATAAGTTTATTTATTATTTGTTTTCATAAAGATTCAATTATAACAGACTTACCATTCAACAAATCCTAATTTCTAATCCATGGTCCGTGTATCCTTTAGTTGCTCATTAATCAAAATAAAAGCCAAATCCTCACAAAAAGAAAATCTTTCAACGGTAAAACTTCATTAAACTCTCCAGTCACTAGCTTAAAACCCAAAAATTCTCCCCAAACAAAGCAGCAGTGTCCATCTAAATCTTCCATAATGCCAAACAATGACCCTTTCCGAACTACATTTAACTTCAATTAGTTTAGCAAACATATAACAAGCAAATGAAGAAGGAAATTCTAGTAGATTTACACAAACAGGATCCTTGATACAAGAAAAGACCCCAACACTTCATATAGAATGAAATGTAGCACAAAACTGCAAACTCGAGTGTTGCAATGGGCGAAATCCCAAAGAAAACGGCCAACAAGACACTACATTCCATGACATTTGATAAGATGTATAATTAAAACCACAATCATTCATTAGTTGGCAAAAACTTTAAATCCATTATAAGCTTTATCGAATAATACTTAAAATATTAGTCCTGACGAATCACAATACGGCCGATTTACCGATCAAACTAAAGTATATCTTACAACAGAAAGAGACTAAACAAAAGCCATTGTGACAACTCAATGTTACTCCTCCTCAGCTGCAGATTCACCGTTCTTTTTGTTATGCTTCCTAGCGTACCTCTGGTTCCTCAGAAACTGGGGATCCATCTATGTCATCAAGACGTCAATAATTAAAGCGAAATCGATTAACCAGATATAAAAACATGAAAATCAAAAGAGAATAGACAAAACCCTTTGATGGAAGCGTTCCTATGCTTTCTGGGCTTCTTGATACCGTTCTTGTGAGCTATGCGCAGTGTGGTTTTTTTACTTGGCCATTTCTCTGAAATTATACAATAAAAAATTAAATTTAGCAGTTAGCACGTAAATGGTTTTGAGTAATGTGTGAGCATTGATAATGGAAAATAACAAAAAAAAAGGTACTAGAGAAGAGGAGAGCAGAGTAGACTCGTGCTCTCGCGCACTTGTTAAGAGTTAGGGTTTGGGGACAATATACTCAATAATGTGACGGAAGAATCGGGAATTCGGGATGACCCGATAAAAGAATCGGAAACTTAAAGAGGTTCCTGGGTTTTTTTTACTAAATTCTGCGCACCAAGAGTCATCATAATTGCATGTACACCCTTTCCATTAGAATTCAATCTTGTTAATGATGTGGATTTTTGTCTATTTTGTATTGTAGTGACATGACAAGAGAATGATGTATATTTCAAAAGAGTAAACAACATGTTCCCACCCAAGGTTTCGTGAAGCTACAAACGTTGACAGGGTAAAGTGGTCATTTGAATTAGAGTAAATTTGAAATAAAAATAAAAATTTCAAAATAACCCTCCACATCTCAAATTTCTTTGACAAGCACCCTCTCTCAACTCACAACCATTGTTGTTGTCGTTGCCAACCATATTCCATGGATCCCTGCCAGATTTCTCACCCAAATTGAAAGGATTCATCACTTTCAACTAAACAATCAAACTTCCTCATAGAACGAACAATCAATCAATAAATCAAAAGAAAAAACCAAAAAAAAAAAAAAACAAATGAAATCAATAACTGGTGTGTAGCCGTTGAATGACGAGATACTGTGGTTAGGGATGATGGGAGTTTTGGAGAGTGGTTGCTAGTGAGTCAAGTGGTGGTGGTGGGGGTTAAGGCCGTCAGAATTCGACTTGGGACAGTCGTGCTTCACGTGAAAGAAAATTGGCAGCGCCCGATGAACGGTGGGTGAGTTTGCGGGGGGATAGGGTGAAGTTTTGGTGGTGGATGGACAAAGGTGCTATGGGTGGTGTTGGGGAAGGTCGCCAGCTCCGAAAAACGGCCAAATCAACCTGAAAAGGAATTCACACACAACCTAGAAATGGTTGCAGGAATGGCCAAAATCCAGTCAAATGGACAGTTAATCGGCTTGAGGCTTGTGAGGATGGGCTAAGGGTGGTGATTCCAATCGTTTCCAATTAGAATATTGGCTGGAATTCGTTCTAAACTATACTAAGGGTGTTATTGAAATAAATTTGAAAATAATGTGGGTTAGTAATTCTACTAATGTAGGAGTTAAAAAGTAATTTATTAATTTATTTGTCAAGACTAGTTTGGTAATAGCATTCTTTATGCTAGAATCCAAAATTCACTAAAAAGTGTTGATTCAAGGGTGGGAATCTGAATTTATGAAACTAGGGGTGGAACCTGTAGATCCGTGAAAACTTGGGTGGGAACATGTCGTTTACTAATTTGAAAATTTCAAAATAGTTTAACAAACTAACTTCTTAAATATTATTTTATAATCTATAAATCAAATAGAATTGAAATTTAGAAACTGTAGCCGCATCATTCCCTCATTCCCTCTTTTTATTATTGTCTTAATTGAAAGACAATTAGATACTAATACAATAATGAAACTTTTTACAAATTAATTTTATGTTAGAAGGTTGCATAAAATAAAGAAATCAGTGAAAACGAATAAATTTAGTATGCTAGAATTGATTAATTTGCGTAAGTGATTTATACAATTAATACAAATTAAATTTAACAAATTTTAATGAAAAAATCAGAAGCAAATTGGGCTTAAATTTATAGAAGAATTATGAAAAAAAAAACAGAGATGATAATATTATACTTATAAAATCTTTTTATTACTTTTTTTTTATAAATATGATATAATAATTTATAATTAATTAATTTGTAATAAATTCTATCTATGACTAATCAATTAAAAGCTATTACATCATCGTTTATGAAAAAAATTATAAGCAGCATTTATCCGACTATCTTTTTCACGATGATTTAATTAGAAATGAGACAGTATCGGCACTGTAGTTATGTACTGAACATAAAACGGCGTCATCCAACCCAGAAAACTGGGCCCACAGGGAAGCAAGATCCACCTCATGAAAATATCAATTAACCCCAATCAACTGTTCTCCCATTTAACTTTCTCATCGTTGTTATTGTTAGGGTCAAACTTAATGTTTTCTTGTGCCTGATTGAAACCGAGACCTGAATTGGACGATCTAGTTCCTTCTTTAACTTAGATCGTCATAAATTCAAGCTCGATCTATCGTTGTTTGGATTCAGGTAACCGATTAATACAATGTTTCTTTTTGACTGGTTCTACAGCGTCTTGGCTTCGCTTGGTCTGTGGCAGAAAGAGGCTAAGATCTTGTTCTTAGGCCTAGATAATGCTGGAAAAACCACCTTGCTCCACATGTTGAAAGACGAGGTCCTTTTTGTTTTATTTCTTATCTCTTTTCTTATAATCTTCTATTTTATGCTTCTATTTCCTAAATCGATTTTGAATTATTTTTTACTTTTTTGAGAAGTGGTAGGTAAGTGAAGTAGAATTTAGAATCTTATTCTTTTATAATTTGATTTATTTGAGACGTGGACAAACATAAATCTCCTCACAGGTGAATCGTACACAATCTGATTTAACATATTGCATCATTGTTTCATTTAACTGATTGCTCTTTGTGTTGGTGCTTTGACCCCTCCCTTTTTTTTTCAATTTCGGTACTTAAACGAAATGGAATTTGAGATTTACACTCTTTTTTGTTTTTGATGGAAATATGAATATTTACGTCTTCAGCTGTGTAGTTTAGGATGGAAGAAAATTTTTAATAAGTAGATAATTTCATAAGGCTTAATTGGATTAGTAAAGTTACTCTCAGACATTTATACTGTGTGCAAAACGTAGAAGTTTTGTTTCATCCTGCAGTACTTATTCTTGGGTTGATTTCAGAGATTGGTTCAGCATCAGCCAACGCAGTATCCCACATCGGAAGAGCTTAGTATTGGGAAAATTAAGTTCAAGGCATTTGATTTGGGTGGTCATCAGATTGCTCGTAGAGTCTGGAAGGATTACTATGCCAAGGTGAGTTATACTTAAAACTCAGTTAGTTTAGTACTTAAGTAATTTATATCGCATCTGAAGAGTGGACATACCACCTATTGGATTAATTGTTGCTATGTGCAACACTTTCAGCTTAACCCGATTCATTCTTAATTCAATAATATGTAATTTATTTGCTATAAGAAACGTGTAACTGCCAGTTATAATTATTAGCAGTTGTTGACCGGATTCAATGGTTTACGGATGCACCCTTGTTTGATATTTGTTTATTTCTATGGTTCTTTTGACATGCACTCATGTTAACTGTAATCAAGTGCTGCTTGTGATGTTTTTTGGTTTGAATCTTACCTTTTACTTGTTTCTACCATTGTTGTGATGCAACCCACATTTGTCCCATATATTACTCGAAAGTAATTGACAACATCTACCTGTTCATGCTATTGTCATAAGTTCTTCTCAACATATATTTGTATAAGTTAGACAACAACATGTTAACTTTTAGTACAACAATCTATTAATGCAAGGTTAACTAGCTGCATGTATAATTTTTTTTTTTTTTTTTGTCTTTTGCCTTGTGACATATAAGATACAGAAGAAAAATCTATTTGCATTTATGTGTTAACTTTTGTATCACTTTGGCAGTAAGACTCTTAATTAGATTTTCATTTTGAAGGTTATTGCCCTCTGTTTTAGTTTATATATATACTCATAAGAAAGGCTTCTTGCTGGGAATCATTGTTTATTTCCAAAAGTGTAACTTATGCTGTTTTATGGCTTGAAGTTGTAATAGTGCATCCCTTGGTTTGCGAGAGTGCAGGTTGTGGTAACAGTTTGCCGGCTCTATGTCAAGCTTGTATTGAAGTTGCTACTAACGTGGTCCATGTTTAACTTAGGAATTAACTTATATTGAGGTGTTCTAGAACTGAATGCAATGAGGTTTTTATGGCTTTCTCAAACACCTATTATAGACGTTCTGATGATGCTTCTTATGAAATTTTATTTAATTGCCTTTGGATTGACCTATACCATGTATCATTAATTTTTTTACGAACCACGTTATTTTATGAGCTTGATTTGCTTTAACTCGTTATACTTTGCTTGCTTGGTGTTTTCTGTTATCTTCTATGTTGACATTCTTTACTTTGTCCTTCACTTTCCTTCTGTGATAAGCTTGATTGTTGCACCATTTTGCTGTAAGCCTTTTTGTTAATTTATTCAACTTCTTGTTAATTTACTGTGTAATTTAATTTCCCTATATTTGTTATGAAATTATCTCTGTGCCTTATGGTGCATTAAATTATTTCAATTGGCTAAAGCCAAAGTGCATTCCATCCATATATATATCATTGCATTTCTGTGCAACTAGAGTTGCTTCGGTTGGTTAGTAGAATCCCAATAGTTATTCTTTGTGCCTTGGCTTAGACAACGTTGATATGATAAGGCTTAGGTAGATGCATCCATTACACTGTTGACTGAGTTAACACGGATGAAGAGAGAATACTACTAGTCCCTATGAAAGTTATCACTTGGACCTTGATGGCAAAATTTATTTTATGTCTATCTGTGATGCTTACATCTTTCTTATGCTTAGAAGTTCTGTGATTATATATCTTCCTAATTCAACTGGGTGTATTTTTAAATTTGAAGACTCTAATTTTGGCCTTGTTGCAAATAATATATATTCGGCTTTCTCATCTCTGCAGGTAAAATACTTCTAATGTGGTTTGCATTATGTTACAGGTGGATGCTGTAGTCTACCTAGTGGATGCCTATGACAAAGAGAGGTTTGCGGAATCAAAGAAAGAACTGGACGCACTCCTTTCTGACGAGTCATTGGCTAATGTCCCTTTTCTTGTTTTAGGGAACAAGATTGACATCCCATATGCAGCCTCAGAAGATGAGTTGCGATATCATCTTGGCCTGACAAATTTCACCACTGGCAAGGGGAAGGTTAATCTAGCAGACACAAATGTCCGCCCACTGGAAGTGTTTATGTGCAGTATTGTGCGCAAGATGGGATATGGTGATGGCTTCAAATGGCTCTCCCAATACATCAAATAGCATAATGGCCGGTAGTGTTTTAGGAAGATGTATTGCATATCCCGAAAGCCCTATCCTATCCCACTGTGTCTCATCGCACGAATTGTATTAATCTCCTTGTTTGGTCTAGCTTGTGAGTGGGATTTAAATTGGAAGTACTGTGTTTTGAATCTGCGTGGAAGGAATTGTTAATGTTACTACTCTGTAAAATTGACTTGTGGTAGCAGGTCTTATCTGATATAATAGTTTGTTAAATTATTTGCCATCTATTGTCATATGCTGCAGTACAGCAGAAATATTGCATTCCTTTCCTATCACTGTCATATTGTATAATTGGGCTTTGCAGTATGTATTATTATTTTTAAGAACAAAAGGATTTAGCACTCTCCTTTCTGTCCACCCACATAATGTTTTCGGTTGGTTTTCATCGCATAGTTTGGTAGTACAGATAATATGCTGTGTGTGCAACTAGTCGTATGGAAAAGAAATAAAACGAATGGGAGGAAAACACCATTCTTTCAATTTTTTTTTTTTTTTTTTTTTTTATGTTTGCTGCAATAAGCTGTCGAATCCTCGATAAAATTTCTGAATCGATTTCAGAGCGAGGTTTCTGTGCCAAAACCTCGATAAGATTCTGTGACTCGATTCCATGGGGTTCTGTGCAACTTGGCTGTGATATTTGCTCTCTTCATCAATCCTCTGATGGTTTTGGGATTATGGTTTTATAAATGGAAAATTTGTAACCATCTTCAATGAGGAGTTTATCATCAATCAGTAATAAAACCTGTTGTATAGGTCCACAGTTTCATGCTTCCATAATTGCTAGCCCATCTCATGATTCATATTTCTAATAACAACACCTGTCAATTTCAAGTGGAGACAAATGGCCAAACAGCATTTGACAATATGTCGGTTGCTGTAAACGTTTTTAATATACTTTTGATCGTTCCTGGCAAAATACAAATTGCTGTGGACGTTTTAACTAATTCAAAGGCCAAAACAAAACAATAAAATTTATTCGATAGAAAAGACCCCACACATATCGCCATTACCACACTTCCCTGCCACGCCTAACGCATAATAAGAGTAAACATCCGCGTATTGAAACTATACCAACTTATCAGTCACGTGCACACACTCTCACCACTTCTAGTCTTATTTTTAACATTTGACTGTTGACTCATCCCTCTTTCCCCACTATATATAACTTATAAACACTCACCCATACCCCATAATAATCTCTACTTACAACTGAAGATCCACCACCACAACTGAAACTACAAGATATGGGCAACTACACTTCCTCTTGTTTTCTTGTTCATTCAACCCTAAAAGCAAAGCTTGTCGATGCTAATGGAAACCTGAGCAGGTCCCTTCCCATTAAAGCTGCCGAGGTCATGCTTGAGAACCAGGCCACGTCATTTCTCCTGTGGACGGGCTCCTTAGAACTCGCCGTATATCGGCCATGCGAGCTGACGATGACTTTTGCAGGAAAACTTTACATGTTTGTTCCTATTACAGAGTCACGGAAAGTTACAGAGAAAGATATTTCGATAATAGAGGCTGCTTCTGACAAAAGAAATCGTTACGCTTACGTAGGAGGAAGAGGGCAACGGCAAGGTTTACCCACTGTAACTGAAAGGTGAGGGAAGATAGAGAAGAAGTGATCAGGTTACTGTTTTGCGAGTGAATGATACGGGGTTCGCCAGTCACCGATTTAAGAATCAAAAGCGTGGAACCCGTTTGGAAGCCATTTCTGAAGTCTACTGAAGATTACAAGTTTTTCTTGGCTTTGACTCTGTTATCCTCCATGGAATTTTTAACTTAATTATCAGAATATGCAAGTGTACATGATGATTAATTCTTACTGAACAAGCCTACGAACCCAAAGCTGGCCCATTTTTTGGCCATTGAATTGATAGAAAGCTTGAAGGTGGCCGAGGGCCTTAACCAAAAACATAACTGCACGGGCTTATGGGCCTAAAAAGTGATATATCATATTGTATTTAATAAAAGTTATCTTTCGTATTTCACCATTCTTGGTGTTCTATTACCGTTTAAGAAGGTTTTGCTTGCTTGATTGCTCAATTAAGGGTTGTTTGACAAATGACATGATGTTAATTTATAAGAAAATTAAACCGTGTTAATCATTTTACTCTTATGACATATAATACGAGTTGCTTGTTGCTCAATTAAGGGTTGTTTGACAAATGACATGATGTTATTTATTAGAAAATTAACCGTGTTAATCATTTTACTCTTATGACATTAAATACAGTTAATCACTGCACCATCCTCTATTACAATTTTTTTTTTTTTTTTTTTATCATCGGAGGTGTGGATTAGCTTGCAAACACCTCAATAATCTCCTATTAATGCCTTAGAATTGTTGGCCGCGTAAGAGCCCCAATGGCCACCTCTATTAATACTTAGGAGACTTGAACTAACATGGCATAGGGGTGGGGCCAGGGACCCCATTCCCCGTCCCAAAAACACTCCTTGCCCCGCCCTGTCCATTAGAGGAAGTTAGGGATTCCCCCATCCTCGCCCCAAGGATTTTAGAGACTCTCCTCACCCCTTTAATTTTACATTGACATCAATTTGAGAACAATGCATGACAAAAACTATTTGAGCATTTAAAAACAATAGTCAATTCTCCTTCAATGTTGAGATTCGTCCACATGACAAACACTTAAGTTAATCTTCTAAACTTAGATAAGACTTGCACTTGTTCAAAATACAACATATATATGCGTTGAGCGGGAGAAGGGCACTCCCCACCCCATCCTCAGGACCGGATTAAAACTCCTCCTGCCCCCCCAAAATTGGGAAATCCCCATCCCATAGAGGGCGGCAGGATGGGGCCCCAAATTTCGGGACTCATTGTGATGCTTAACTTGAACTCAAAAACTATAAACCTTTTTTGGCTCTTTTATTATCAGATCATGCATCCAATGATGATTTATTACAATTACTTAAACCAATATACAATGTTACTTAAATAAAAATATTCTTTGATTTAATTATAAGTACAAAAAGACATGCATTTACGTATGAATTTGCATATAAAAGGTTATCTCATTCATATGATTCAATAGTATTACACCCGTGAGAATTAGAAACAAAAATATAAATCACGGAAAGCTTTGTATTGACCGTCCAATTTAACCACGCATCAGGTAACAGGCAACACATTATAAAGGGATTGGTTAGTATAATTACAGTTGAACGTTTCTTTGACTTCCATTTAACGCTAGCCCTAGTGAAGACAAAAGGACCCCACCTATCCAGAACATCTCTGACCATTGGATCAAGTAATTACATACGTAAACTGTCAATATCATGTACAAAACAGATCTGAAGGACAACAACTCCATCTTTTAAGTTATTCCCAAGTCCACCATTATATCCCTCACAAGATGGAGCGGTTTAACAAACCCTTTCCTACGCATTCCTACATATACTTTCTTTAATTTCATACACACTTATTTCAAGCTTCAACCAACACACACACACACGCCTTCTCCCTCTCATGGGTACTACATCACATATCGACCCTTTGATGCCACCGCCAGAAAAGTCATTCTATCAACGGCACTGTGCATGAGTTTGACTATCCTGTCACTGTGGCAGAGCTGATGCTAGAGCACCCACAAGAAGTTGTAGTTGAGTTGCACTCGGCCGTCACTGGAGAGGCCAAACCCGTTTCCTGCTACAAGAAATTGGATGTAAAAAGGTTTACTTAATGCTCCCCATCAGCGAGGCAAGCCAGCTTCGTTAACTTCGACGAAGCTCGTCACGTTCTTTGAGTGCGATTCAGTGTTAAGATCGCAGTCCCTTTTATTGTCATCGAAGTTTCTTCCCTTTGTTTGCTAAGATATGTCCTGCAGCTACTAGAGGCACAAGTTTATTAAGTTGCAGAAGAAGGAAAGCTCGGAGGAGAGACCAGTGGAGCTCACAATTGTATCGAGCTTTTGCCGGAAAGTTTGGACGGGAGGCCAGAGTATTTGAATAGAACACTTTCGGGAAAGGCGTGGAAGCCTAGCCTGGATACATTAAGGAGAAAAAGGTTGAGAAGGTTCCCCACTGGTTGTTTCACAAAGGTTTTATTGTATCTAATTATTTTTATAGGAAAGCTTTGATTATTAGAAAAAAAAAAAAAAATGAAATGGAGCTACTGGGCATAATTTATATGTTTTCTTTTCTTTTGCATATCTTGCCTCTTTTATCTTTTCAAACTTTCTTGGTTTTTTTTTTTTTTTTTGGGGATATTATGTATACCTCATGGGTTAAGGAAAAATTGAAATGTATGTAGTTTATTGAATTCAGGCCAAATGTATAAGTCAAATTGGACTTATAATCTTTGATATATATGGGACTATGGGTTTAAGCCCAAAATTTATACTCATATAGCAAGAGAAAGGTTATTGGGTTATATTAATTCCTTAATTACAATATACAGTATATAAAAAAAAATGATGAAAATGTGCAATTGATGATAATATTCTCCTCGTCAACTTAAATATTTTATAATTCATTAAGTACTTACGTGGCACAAACCCGACCTATGTATTTTGTTAGTGGGCTGTCAAACACCTTTCGCATACACGTATAGATGTTAATAATCAGTATACCCAGAGTCCTTCTGCGGGTAAGTATACAACATATGAGTCGTTTTTGCATTTTAATATTGTAGATGCAAAAATCTACCTTATAGAGAGAGGGATTGATCCCGTAAGGTTAAGGCCACTAGCGATATACTGCACCTGCATACGTAAAAAAAAAAGCATGAAGCAGACAGAAAACACCAGAGGCACTCCGATGCTCAAGTCAGCAAGGCTGAGTGAGACTAGTTTAGTGAGGGTTAGGGAGAGGAAAGGTTACCGGAAGTCTAGTCAGAGACTGTGACTACGACTGTAATGCGAAGTTCTCGAAAGTGGAAACTCCAGGGTCTAAAGGTGTAATGTCTTTGTCTCTTGTGAGAGGGTTGAACTCTGTTTAAATAGTGACTATAGGGCCTTCGAATCCTGGTAGGACTGGGAGTCCTTGTAGTGGTGGTTTTTTGAAAGAGTGGAGCCTTTAGCTCCCTTATCTCAGTAGGAAAGGGAGTCCCAGCATGCCTAGGATATGGACCTTAGATGAATTAGGATAGTGATTGACTTCTTTAGTAGAGTTCAAGTAGTACTATACTTCATAGGTGACTGTGGGCTCCAAGTTGACCGTAAGTCCAAAAGGTGTTTTAGGATTAAAAGGCCTGGGTCCAGATGATGAAAAACTGGAAAAGTATACCGAACGGGTCTTATCTGCAGAACTCTGTTATAGACCCAATTAGAATTGGGCTTGAGCTTCCCACTTTATTGAAGGCATCTTCGTTTTTGGACTTATTTGGGCTAGGACCTTTTCTGGCCCTAACAAATATTTCGCTATAGGGATGTAAACGGATCCTGATCCATTATGACGAGACATATTGTTGATTATTTCACATCATAACTCAAACTAATCTTGGTTTGGTTTTTATAACATAATTATCAATTTTGTGTTAATTCGTTTATATTATTAATCAACCAAAATTGGTTTATATAATACAGCAGTCCCTGACTATAAGGGAAATTACATGGAATAATCTCATTGACTTCGGAATTACAGAACAAGAAATTAAATCAACAAAATAAGAGGAAATTAAATCAAGATATACTAGGAAAGCAAATACAAAGAGGAAACTAAATCAAGATATACTAGGAAAGCAAATACAAAGAGATATGGAAAGTCAATACGCCCCCTCAAGTTGGAGCATGGAGGTTTCGAATGCCCAACTTGCCAACCAAGAACTGAAATTGTTGCTTGCCAAGAGCTTTAGTAAATAAATCAGCAACTTGATGGCGCTGTGAAGGAATGAAACGAGTAGTTAACAATCCTCGTTGAATGCAGTCTCTAAACAAGTGACAATCAATTTCAATGTGCTTTGTTCTTTCGTGATAAACTGGATTGTTAGCAATATGCATGGCAGCTTGATTATCACAGTACAAATGAGTAGAAGAAGAAAGTGAGACAGTTAAGTCTGAAAGCAATTGCTTAACCAAATTAACTCACATGCAGTAATGGCCAAAGATCGATACTCTGCTTCTGCTGAGGATCTTGAAACAGTCGTTTGTTTCTTGCTTTTCCAAGAGATGGGAGAATGGCCAAGGAAGATGAAATACCCACTAAGAGATCGCCGATTAAGGGCAACTTGCCCAATCCGAATCACAATAGGCTGAAAGTGATAAGGAACTTTGTAGAAGAAAGAAAATACCTTGACCTGGTGTTGATTTGAGATATCTCAAAACCCGCAAGCAGCCTTGCCAATGACCTTGTGAGGTTGATTCATAAACTGAGAAGAACATGAACTGAATAACAAATGTCAGGCCGAGTGAGTGATGCAAGTAATCAGGCGTCCTACTAGACGACGATAGAGCTTGGGATCATGAAGAGGTGGATGTCATCAAGTGTTAACTTGTGATTTTGTTCAATGGGAAAATGGCAAGGTTTTGCACAAGTAAACCGCTTCCTGTAAAATGTCCATGTGTATTTTCGTTGAGAAAGAACAATGCCTTCGGGAGAGTGAGCAACTTCAACACCAAGGAAGTATAAGAGTACCAAATCTTTGATGGGAAACCAAGATTCTAAATACCGCTTGAATTGATTGAGATGCACATTGTCATTGGCTGCCATGACCACATCATCAACATAAACAAGAACCACAAGGAAAATTTTTCCCGGCGGTATGTGAATATGAGCTGTCAGCTTTGGATTGAGTAAATCCATATTGAAGAATAGCGGTGAAAATTTTGCAAACCATTGCCAAGAGGCTTGTTTTAGCCATACAAAGATTTCTGGAGTCGACATACCCGTGAATCATTATTGGATATATAACCCGGTGGAGGTTTCATGTAGACTTCCTCCACAAGATCCCGTGGATAAGGCATTATGACATCTATCTGATGTAAAGTCCAACGTTTGATTGTTGCAACTGTAGCAAGGTACGAACAGTGGTGAGTTAGCAACAGGTGGAAACGTTTCAGTATAATCCATCCCTCCACTTGAGTGTACCCTTTGGCTACAAGGCGTGCCTTGTATCGTTCTATGGTCCCATCAGACTTGTATTTAATTCGGTACACCCACTTGCATCCAACTGCTCTCTGTGCCAGGAGGTAATTCTCAAGGGTCCAAGTGTTGTTTTGTTCAAGTGCCTCTAACTCATTCTTCATTGCTTCTTGCCACCGAGTATCTTTAATTGCCTGTGATAAGATGTTGGCTCATCATTGGTTGAGATGGCCGTAAGAAAACAACGATGTTGTGAAGAAAAATGTGAGTAGGAAAGATAATGAGATAAAGGGTAAGAAGTACCTGAGGAAACCGTATTGGCATGAGATTGGGATGTGTCTTTATTATTTCCTGGCAATTCAACAATGTAATCCTTGAAGTGTGCTGGCATCTTTCTTTGTGGGTAGGATGAGTGATTGCAATGGGTACTAGATTAGGAAGGTCATGGAAATTGTAGCTTGATCATTCCTATATTGAGATGTATTGGTTGTATTGTCATTATCTACAACCCTCTCATCATCTATGTTGTTTTGAGGAAGCTCATTGGTTGTATTATTCTCATCAATTCGGTCAGCCAGATCTATTTCACCATCCTTATTAACTCCCTGTCATGATGATCTATAATGTCAGGTTCTATGATGAACACAGGTATAGGTGATAAGATGGAAGATTGTGTTGGGGAATAAGATTGAAACGGAAGATGGTTTCATGGAACACGACATCTCTTGAGACAATAATTCTATGAGTTGTCAAATTGTAAACTCTATATCCTTTCTGACCATAAGGATATCCAATGAAAATACAAGGATTGGCTCGTTCACTAAATTTATCACTAGACCTTGGAATAACCGAAGCATAACAAAGACACCAAAAGCTTAAGATGTGAGTAATTTGGCTTCCTAGATAACAAGATTTCATAAGGACTTTTTCCATTTAAGAGTGGTGTGGGTGCATAATTAATCAAATAGGCTGCAGTAAGAACACACTCACCCCAAAATTTTATAGGTAATCCTCCTTAATCTTAAGCTCGTGCAACTTCTAAGAGATGCCTATGTTTGCGCTCTACTACTCTGTTTTGTTGAGGGGTAGAAACACATGAAAATTGTTGAACAATCCCTTTTTCTTGACAAAATTGCTGAAATTTGTGAGCGGTAAACTCAGTCCCGTTATCACTTCTAATCTGTGACATGAGAATCAAATTGCTTGTGAACCATGGCAAAAATTAGACTAACAAATGATCAACTTCAGTTTTATTTCTCATTAAATAAACCCATGTAGTTCTACTAAAATCATCAACAATACTAAGGAAATAATGGCACAGACAAAGATGGATTTTTGTAAGGTCCCCAAACATCACAATGTATTAAATCAAAAGGTTTCTGAGTTTTAATAGAACTATTAGGAAAAGAATGTCGAACTGTTTAGCACGATGACAAGTATCACAACAAAAATTCTTCATCTTGTGAAGATTTAAACCATCAATAGAACATATTCGATCAAAAGAAAGGTGACCAAGTCGTTGGTGCCATAACTCAAAGCTTGTATCCTGAACCACATTTGCAGATGCAGCAGTCAAAGAGTGCCCTGAAATAATAAAGACATCCTTAAGCTCACCATGCCAATCAGCTTCCGTGGCTAGGTCCTGTAAGATACAAAAGGTAGGAAAGAAATGAGCAACACAGTTAAGGCATTAGTTAATTTGCCTATGGAGATGAGATTACAAGAAAAAGAAGGTAGGTACAAAACATTGCTTAATTTAATGTTAGGATTAATAATGACTTCTCCATAGGATTTAACTGGGACAGAAGAACCATCTGGAATGGAAACAGGAAGGTTAAAACCGATTGTGTTTCATTGTGTAAGATACTCTGGCAAGTCATATGGTTAGAAGCACCTAATCCAAAATCCATTCAACACTACCATTGGAAAGAGAATTTGCCTTACCAGCAAAATTTGCAATTGGATTCAAGTTCCGTGTCTTGTCAAGATTCAGCAAAGACATGAGTTGGGTATATTGTTCTTTGGTGAGGCCGCCGATTGGAGATCCAGTTGATTGTCCTGTCTGTGTTCATGGTTTGTGTTTGATTTGCCATCTTTCCTCGTGTCGATTGGTTTTGTTCTTTTCCCCACCAATCGGGTAGCCATGTAATTCAAAACATGTCTCCTTTGTGTGTTTATTTTTCTTGCAATGTTCACAATACAGCTTTGATGTGTCTCGGTTACCATTGTTGCTTCGTGTCACAGCCTTCAGGTTGTTTTTGGATGCAGCAAATGCAGCTGCTTCAACAATGGTTGCCCCTCTTGTCGTTGCAATTTGTTGTTGCTTTTCTTCTTGTGAAACAAGTGCATAAGATCGGGCTAGCGAAGGAAGAGGATCAGTGTTTAGGATTTGAGATCTCACCACATTATATTTTTCATTTAATCCCATCAAGAATTGATGAACCTTTTCTTTTTCTTTCTCAACAGCAATTGCTTTGGCCGAACCGCAAGTGCAAGGCGGAATTTGAGAATAAGCGTTGTACTCATCCCAAAGTCCCTTAAGCTTTGTGTAATATGCAGCAATTGACATATCCTTCTGCTGCGTATTCACTATCTCAGTTCTTAGTTGATGCACTCGAGGTGCATTTCCTTGTGACAAACGTTCTTCAAGATCGACCCATATCTCCCTAGCTGTATCAAAAAAAACAACACTGTCATGAAGAGATGAGTCAAGAGAATTAAATATCCATGAGATAATCATGGAGTTGTTTTTGATCCATATTGCAAGATCTGCTGAATCTGGTTCTGGTCGCAGCAAAGTTCCATCAACAAAGCCAAATTTGTTCTTGGCAAGTAATGCATTGGACATGGCTCTTCGCCATGTTGGATAGTTATTTTCTTTGAGAAGACATGAAACTAGCACGATTCCCGGATTGTCAGATAGGTGTAAGACATATGGGGATGATAAATCATTCATGGTTTGTTTGGTGTTTGCGGTGATTGATTGGGTTTTTGCAGAAGAATGTTGGCTAGAATCATCAGACATGATGAGGAGAAGCGTGCCCTAGATGGCCTGCTCTGATACCATATCAATTTTGTGTTAATTCGTTTATATTATTAATCAACCAAAATTGGTTTATATAATACAGCAATCCCTGACTATAAGGAAAATTACATGGAATAATCCCATTGACTTCGGGATTACAGAACAAGAAATTAAATCAACAAAATAAAAGGAAACTAAATCAAGATATACTAGGAAAGCAAATACAAAGAGGAAACTAAATCAAGATATACTAGGAAAGCAAATACAAAGACATATGGAAAGTCAATAATAATATCCCACCTGTTTGCTTGTAATTTACATATATTAATCTTCACGCGATATTGGTTAGCAAGTATCACATCAATCGGCTTGGAGTTGATGTGCTAGTTTTAGTGGATAAAGGTTGATATTCAAAGCCAGCAATGATAAACTAATTATTTAAATTAAAATATTTAGCGACAATTAGTCTCTTTGAGCAACTGAATTATGGTTTACTTTACAATATGTTCGACTTTCGAGTTGAAGACCAATCCCACAACCCAGATCATCTCTGGAAGCATAAATAAATAGGTGGTTAATGTTTGTTATGTACATAACAATAATTTTATTAAATAACGTGAATAGACAATTACATTTTCATATGCATTACTATCAGATTAGGTCGTTATAATTGATAATCTCATTCCTTTGGGATATAAACCAACCATTTGTTTACTTGAATGTCACGGAAACGCTATATCATTCGTTAACTAATAAACACTCTTGCTTCTCTTGAAAAAGATTTCTGAATCCACTAGAATTCTCCCAAGATTTCTCGTGCCAATTTAACTTCCCACCTAACTTATTATTGCACAGTGGAGGATGCATTTGTTTCTTCTTACTTAACCGCATTGCCATTGTGTTTGAAGGAAACTATAGCATGTCATTTTACCGTCTTTTTCACACACTCTTTCTCTCCCTATCAAGAAATTAATATGGATGTATAAGAATCTTAAGTGGTAGGGTAGCCAGAAATTGCTTTACTTGTTAGAAATCTTTTTATCTCTTTATGTCACATTACTATAATTGAGATGAAAATCCATTATCTGATTATTAATTTATTATCATCTACTTTTCCGTGAATTTAATGATTTTTTTTTTTAATCATAAGGTCCACAGTTTTCATGATTAAATTAGTTACAATTCTGGTACAGCTATTTCTCACTATACCTTGTTACCATTGTGCTTCTTCTTCATTATCATTCTAACCACGTCCAGTTTAGCGGAAGTTTCATTGAATATGACCCTACACTCAGCCCTGTTAAACATCAGCACACTCCAGTCCGGATATGCACACCACAGAATTGGATATCGGAGGCTAGCAGAATCAAGAATACCAAGACAATTTAATGGAAAGTAAGCATAAAGAGCTTCGTTTATGCATATTTAGTAATAATACCGTTTTGTTCTGATAGTTTGTTCTGTTATTGATGTTGGACCTTGGAAACAAACTGGCACTTGAGATAGGTAGGGAAAAGAGGTCATCTCTGGGGCAAATTGTGGAAGTTTGTTGGAGTCTTTATCTTTAAGGTGGTTAGAAATGGGCTATTGCATTGCAACACACCATTTGGGACCAAACTGTCTCAAACAACATCTACCTAATGCCCTGCTTTATCATGGGAGTATTCAAGGATGAGCAGGATTACATTACATACGCTCTCCAACTAGGATTTATTGTTTCTGAGGATTTTGATTTAACAAAAAATGTTAAGGGCAATCACTGATTTATTTGTCAATATGGGACACATCTCCAATGACATGCAATGGATTATCTTTTAGCAGAATTGCCTGGACGGCTGGACCTCTGTTTCCATTCTGAAGAATTCTTCTGCACAAGCTGTAGAGCAGCAACTTTGCACATATCAAATGGACCAATCCTCTCTACGAAAACATTCCATAGTGGATTTAATTATGTTGTTTAGATTACAGATGAGAAAAAATCATTTAAAAATAAAAGGATAAGCAAAGACGTAAGCGAAAGTTCCAAAAACAGACAAAATTATGCTCGACATCATGGGAACCTTCCCTCGAAAAACTTGAAAAAAAAAAACTTTTGCACCCAAGTGGCTGACTTTCTTTTCTTTTCCCATCACCCTGCCATCAACTTGCATACACAATTCCAATTAACCATGAAATGACTGAGAATACTTCACGTTAAATTATTTTCACAGCCGCCCAATTATACCCATTGTTTTATATCCCCAATAAATATTTGATCAACCCATGACAGAGCTTACTCCAGCATGGATACTGAACCTAAAATAAGGTCACTTCCAAGGAACAATGTCACAGACTCCCAGATCAGTTGCCTGAAAATTATTAGTCCATCACGATTCACGACTATGTATAGTAGTTAGTTTATACAATTTGGCTCATATATCTTTCTTAATTTATTGTTTCCTCATTTGGAATTGGTACTGAGACCATCTTCGAATTCCTACAAAGAAATCCCAAACAATGTGTCAAACCCGCTTAAAACATATTCGAGCGGAGCATCTTTTCTTTACAATAATGAGTTTGATCTCGAAGTCAGTGCTTACATATTTTTTATAAGATATGTCAGTATGTCACTCTTGTCTCTTGTCTTTAGAATAATGAGTTTGATTCGCCCATTATGTGGCCGCAGGAGCAGGAAATATATTATCGCGCAAGACTCAAAGTCTATTTTTTCTAAGTTCTCTTCTGTCAGGTAATCTGACCACATCAACATATTTGTTTATGAATGAGTGATTAAGAAGTCATTAAGGTTTGGTAATTCCCTAATTTACATGTTACGAGAGGATAATTGGCATTGTCAGTTTGATAACCATTCATTTTCTCTCTTGTTATAAAAAGTATCGTACTCTGTTTCTCATTCACCTACATATTTCATTAAATTAATTTTAATGTTTGGTCTATATTCTTTATATTGTAAAACTAATTTCAAATGTTATAATTGTTACTTAACCTTCAATTATAAGATTAAAGTTTAATCAACACAACAGTAATTTAAAATATATTTTAGTATTACTGTATCTGTATCTAGATTGAAGATCTACCGGTTGGACGTTAGTTATGTTTAATCTGTCATTAAAGAAATCCAAGCACAGTTGATTGTCACTGCAGAAAATCTCTTTCTGATATGATTGAGTTTGGTTCATTTGGTTACCGACGAATGGTGAGCTTGTAACAATTATATTGCTAAATATGAAAGGGGCTATGTGATTTATTCCTAAAAGGGTTGGTGTTATGTGTTTAATCAAATTAATAGTACAGAACCAGAGAAAAGAATCATAACTTAAATATTTTTGCAGATTGTTCTTTTTAAGAAGTTTCGTGGACTCACAAATTTCATGGTTTTTGGTATATACATGTGGAGATTAGATTTAGATATGATGGTTTTATGAAGAGGATTGGAACCAATGCAATCATTTCACCGTCCAGTTTGGCTTAGATGAGGTTCTGAGTTCTGACTGAGACTTCTCTTTCAAGGGAAGCTACTCACAACTCGGTGGTAATGCTCCAAAATTTTCAACTCACATCCCCATCCACAGGTCCCATGGTTTCTTAATCAGGTGGTTACGAGACTACAAGTAGCCATGTGGGTCCTTTAGCTTATCCCATGCTAGGAAAATAAACTAATTGTTATGCTTTCCAGACTTGAAAAAGAGATTTCAAATAAGCAGATCCTACGAATTCTAATTACTGGCAGTACAAGTCAATTAGATGATCCAACCCACCTGATTATACTCATAATGTCTCATTGTGGGACCTCTTGTTTACCCAACTGCCCATACCATACGTACATTTAAGCACTGCCGTGCTCTACACTTCAAAGTTCAAAACGGCAGCAGCTGGGAATTTTACTAATGAATAATTGTAATGGGTTAATTGTCAGCCAACTTACAAGTTACATCCCACTAACTAGACTACCATCCGATTTTACTTTAATGAGTTAAACAGCAACATGGACATCCAGTCATCAAACTCATTTTCTCAAATCATCACTGCCATTCTGGTTCGAACTTCACCTATATATACTCTACATTTTCAACACCCTTATCTTGCACATTCAAGACGCAACATTAGCTAAGCTTATTTTCTACACAATACAAAGAATGGCTTACAGCACCACTCTATCTTCATCTTTCTTTCTTCTCTTTCTTATAGGCCTTCTTCTGAGTGTTTCTATTTTAGCCCGGGAACCATTTGCTTGCGACCCAAAAGATGCAACGACAAAAGCTTTGCCGTTTTGCCAAGTATCTTTACCAATAAGGGAAAGAGTGAAAGACCTTATTGGAAGGCTGACTTTGAAGGAGAAGGTTGGGCTGCTTGTAGACAATGCAGGAGCAGTTCCACGCCTTGGAATCAAAGGATATGAATGGTGGTCTGAAGCTCTTCACGGTGTTTCCAATGTGGGTCCGGGGACCAAATTTGGTGGGGACTTTCCTGGGGCCACTAGCTTCCCACAAGTCATCACAACCGCTGCTTCTTTCAATGCAACATTGTGGGAAGCGATCGGACGGGTAAGAATTTATAGTATAAATCTTGTATCTTTCTTAATTAAATTATATGCTATACTTTTTAGATGAGGATGAAGTTAATTCGTGAAGACGTGAACAACTTTGTTTGCTATCTTCTCTTCACTTTTTGATATGATACGTAACGATGAAGTTAATAATTATTTTGTTTCTGTAAGCCGGATGGAATTGTTTCCGGTGATAAGGTAACTTACTAACTTTATTACTTTATTGAATTTAGCCTTACTATGTTCAAACTTTGCTTCGCCTGACAGATTTTGTTCTAATTATGATTCGCTTGGTCGGTCATCGTGCGAATCCTGCAGCGATCTCTAGCAAGCCAATAGGCCCAATACAAAAATATATATATCACAACTTGCATTTGTGGGCCACAATCCACAGTCCGCATAATAAAATAGAGAGTTTTATTTTATCATAAGTGGATAATTGCACAGAGATTAGCCACACGATTGTTTTTAATACCATATTTATGACAAAATTGAAAAAATTTGCAGGCTAAATTCTTTGTTTTGTGCCCCAAAAATTCTTTACGCCTACAAGCTCAAAGTAATGATGAGCTTCATAATCACGGATCAAAATGTTTATCTGGTTTAAATTGATAGGGCAATTTAAGAGAACAATAAAGTAGGTAATTCGTACATCCCCTTTTAATCAACCAGATGAGATGGTGATAGCAGTTCCACCAATTAATATGATTGGTTGAATCATTAATTTGCTTTTGACTTATCAGGTTACAGTGATGCAAAGTCACAATGATTTTATTAAGAAGAATTAATATACTGGTGTTGACAGGTTGTGTCAGATGAAGCAAGAGCAATGTACAATGGTGGCGTTGCTGGACTCACGTATTGGAGCCCAAACGTCAACATTTTTAGAGACCCAAGATGGGGCCGTGGGCAGGAGACACCCGGTGAGGATCCTGTATTAGCCGGTAATTATGCTGCTAGCTACGTTAAAGGGTTACAGGGTAACGACGGTGAGCGGTTGAAGGTAGCTGCTTCTTGTAAGCACTTCACAGCCTATGATCTCGATAACTGGAATGGTGTGGATAGATTCCACTTTAACGCTCAGGTTAGTAACTACGGATGCATAATAAGACTTAACCCGTGAGTTTAATTATTGGTTTTCAGGCGCCACTTTCCATGCTTTGTAAGATAATCTTGGAAACATCACTTCCCACTTGTGTATTACAATATCGACCTTTTATTTAATGGTGATGTATATTCTTTATGTTGTCACGTTTGTCACAAATTTCGTCTAGATACCATAAGTTAATAGTAAATTGGGTTTCAAGTTTCAACTGCTATGCATAATTTCATTTCCCAAAAATATATGAAAGTTAGGAGATTATCACACTTTTAAAATTTATAATAATAATTGCTTTAGCATAGTCGTATATTCTATCTAAAATAGTTTCCCTTTTAATTTTATTAGTCTGTAAGTAAATTGGGTTTCAAGTTTCAACTGCTATGCATAATTTCATTTCCCAAAAATATATGAAAGTTAGGAGATTATCACACTTTTAAAATTTAAATAATAATTGCTTTAGCATAGTCGTATATTCTATCTAAAATAGTTTCCCTTTTAATTTTATTAGTCTGTAAATTTGTCATCTTCTCAGCGGTTGCTTCGTTTTGTTGAAAACAATGCAACCTAATCAAATTCAGTATTAATTGAAAGATAAAGTGCAATTTCATGGGGTTCTACTTGTACACGTGTGAGCAGGTAAGCAAGCAGGACATTGAGGACACATTTGATGTGCCATTCAGAATGTGTGTGAAGGATGGTAAGGTAGCTAGTGTTATGTGCTCATACAATCAGGTCAATGGTATCCCCACATGCGCTGATCCTAAAATACTCAAGAACACCATACGCGGCCAATGGCGCCTCAACGGGTAATTAATATTACAACTGTTTTTTTCTTTTTTCTGATTTATATAGCCATCACTTGATTTTAATAACGTCCTCAATCATTTAACACTTTATCTTCATATTTTTCTTATCGGTGGCCCCGGCCCTCAGGTATATCGTTTCAGATTGTGACTCAGTTGGGGTATACTATGACACTCAACATTATACATCAACACCGGAAGAAGCCGCTGCTGATGCCATTAAAGCAGGCTAGTTCCTTTTTCAACACAAACTATTAGCCTTCTCACATCAGCACACGGTCAATTCGAATTCAAACCAACTTTAAGAACTTAATTCTACCATAAGGGGACACAGAAATAGGTTGATGCATAATTAAATTGCCTGAAGAAGGCGTCACTAATAAATTTGTAACAAGGTGGAGTTTTGCAGGATTGGATTTGGACTGTGGGCCTTTCTTAGGTGTTCACACAGAGAACGCAGTGCAAAGAGGTTTGGTGAGTGAGGCAGACGTTAATAACGCATTAGTTAACACAATTACCATACAAATGAGGCTTGGCATGTTTGACGGAGAGCCATCTGCACAACCATACGGGAACTTAGGTCCAAAAGATGTGTGCACCCCGGCTCACCAAGAGCTTGCACTGGAAGCTGCCAGACAAGGCATTGTTCTTCTTAAAAACCAAGGCCCTTCATTACCTTTGTCCCATCTTCGTCACCGCACTATTGCTGTCATTGGTCCTAACTCTGATGTCACTGTTACTATGATTGGTAACTATGCTGGTAAGCCAAGGATGGATGGTATTTTTTATTTTTTTATTTGTTCAAGAAAAGGAATTATATTTTGTAACTATGTTTAATGATGTTACACTTCTTGTATTTTGTTTCACCACTAGGAGTGGCATGCGGATACACAACTCCCTTGCAAGGAATAGGGAGATATGCAAAGACAATTCATCAACAAGGTTGCAAAGATGTAGCATGTGGTGATGACCAGTCATTTGGTGCAGCAATTGACGCTAGCCGTCAAGCGGATGCAACGGTTCTTGTGGTGGGGCTTGATCAGTCCATTGAAGCAGAAGCAAGAGACAGGGCTGGGCTGCTTTTACCCGGTCTCCAACAAGAGCTTGTGTCTAAAGTTGCCCAAGCCTCGAAGGGCCCAACTATTTTGGTCTTAATGTCTGGTGGGCCTATTGATGTATCCTTCGCCAAGAATGACCCACGAATTGTGGCCATTTTATGGGCTGGGTACCCGGGTCAAGCTGGAGGCACGGCCATTGCTGATGTCTTGTTCGGAACTACCAACCCAGGTTTGCTCTAGTCCAAAAGTCTACAACTTTCATGTCTATAGATTGCTTATTTGCACTCTCATATTGGTTATACGATCCAGGAGGCAAGCTACCAATGACATGGTACCCACAGGAGTATATTGCAAATCTGCCAATGACAAACATGGCCATGCGATCCAGTCCATCAAAAGGCTACCCTGGAAGAACTTACAGATTTTACAAAGGTCCAGTTGTGTACCCATTCGGTCACGGAATCAGTTACACGAACTTTGTACACACCGTAGCCAGTGCACCCCCCGTGGTTGGGGTACCCCTAGACGGGCGCCGGCGCTTCGGAAACGTAACTGTTTCTGGCAAGGCAATCAGAGTTACACATGCAAAATGTAAGGGGCTCTCATTAGGCATTCAGGTAGATGTGAAAAACATTGGTTCCAAGGACGGGTCGCACACATTACTAGTATACTCTAAACCACCAGCAGGGTATTGGGTTCCACACAAACAATTGGTGGCCTTTGAGAAAGTGCATGTTCCTGCTGGGACTCAACAACGAGTTGGAATTAATATACATGTTTGCAAGTTTTTAAGTGTTGTGGATAGGTCTGGAATTCGAAGAATTCCAATGGGTGAACACAGTATTCATATTGCCGATATAAAGCATTCCGTGTCACTTCAAGCAGCTACTTTAGGGGTGATCAAATCTTGAAGCTTGCAGGCTAAGGTTCTAGACGGTCTTCCCACCAAATTCATAGGCATATATAATCCCAAATTAGGGATCGATTCTAGGAAGAATAACTATCATGATTTTTTTAATATTGATTAATACTTTTGATTTCCAGTCATACATTGATCATTGATGTAATTAGTGAGTCCATTGAGAATCAGAATGGGAAATTCAAGATAAAGCTGAAGTTGTGATTTGTGAAGAAATAAAATAAAAATCTGTTTCTGTATATTTGCCTTCATTATTGGTGAAAGAGACCTTGCTATCATATCATTTTTTATTGGTCTAAAGGAGATACCAAATAGTCAAAGAAATCATTGGTCTAAAGGAGATACCAAATAGTCAAAGAAATCATGGGTCTGACGATACCAATTAAATGGTCAAAGAAATGATGCAGCAGTGTCGATGCATGTTCAAACTAATTTACGAAAAGGTAGTAGTCAAACGGCTGGAATAAGCTGTGTGGTCATCCATTTTTCAAACATAAAAAACTATAAAACGTAAAACTCCCCTTGTGATCTGAAAGTGCACGAAGGATACATTAACATACATCATAGCAAATTAATTTAGCAATTTGGATAAAACCCAAGATCGAGACATAAAAGACTACCCGATTGCTTATAACCAAAACTAATTGGGCCTTTATGGCTGAACTGGGTTTAGTATTAGGACTTTCCATAATTCGAAAGTTGAGTTATGACATGAACAAGATGGCCCCCAACGTTCCCCTTTTGTTCAATTGTGGGGTGTGCCAATAATAACCAGGGCCAGTCCGTCCAAGTCTCCAAATTCAGGAACAGACAAAGGCAGAGACTGATTTAGGCGGGAAATGAGCCAAACGAACTATAAATATTTATAGCATAATTGCTTTTCACACAATTGTTGTGGCTCCGTTTGGTAGCTGTCATGTTTCTCTCGGGCACTACTATATCAGGCGGCCGATTAAGAATTTTGCAGATGTTAGGACCCAGTAAGAATTCCTATGTAGATGGCGCCATTAATTTTAGTGGCAAAGTTGTAACTGTGGCTGCACCATCCACACTACAATTATGAATGAATACTGTGAAAGCAATTTAAACGTTTTGTAGCAACAACAATAATTATTTTATAGAGAGTGAGCTGTATGTATATCTATCTCTGTCTCATGTCATCTCAGATGAGCTGGACCTGGATATCAATTAAACAAATTGCATAGGTTTGGACGCATTCAAGAAATTCAAATTACAGTATATAACTTTAAATGACCAAAATGGAAAGTTACCCAAGATAGGAAAATATAAAGACTCAATGGTGTATACTTGGGGCTATAATCCTAAGCAGACTATCAAGTTCATTTGCATCATTTTCAGAAGATAATGACCTGCTCTGCTCCCATGCCCCCGTCATGACTCAGCTTAAGCATGTGCAATAGTACTAGTGTAATGCCAAGGAAGAAAATCATTGCAGTATGGCACTCGCTTGAACATTTATATACAAAAATTGATGGCCCTCAGAAAACCAATTACTATGACAGTATCAGATAATACATCAATCTTCAATGCCAACTGACTATTATCCACCACTCACTTATGTTACGTGACGTTACGTTTTGAAATCTGCAAGACATCATCTACATGGTTGGTCGGTCAATAAAAAATTAGGGAGATATGATAAGTGAAATTAATATAAACTTGTGGGTAAATTAGCAGTCATCTTCTTGGAATTCAACAAAGAATTCCTGTAAAATAGGCAGTGCAGTACAGGCCCGTTTGCGTACTGCAATCTCATGCTAATGTGTCATGCTTAGCTTCTGTTTAACTTTTTTAATCTTTCTATTTTTCTCAACTTTATATAAGAAATTTTTGACAGACTGCTGTATGTTTTTCATAAACAAAAGGAACACACAGAGAGTAGAGCAAAGTATCTGAATTTTCCTTTTTTTTTCCTCATGTTTATTATTATTTAAAAAAGAAAGTTGTAACAAAGTCTAAACAAGTGGGGGTGGGCACGAAAAGATTCGGATGAGTCTTGAGCCCTCAGGAGCCCATGACTCAGCAAACTAAAGCAAAGCTCAATGAACACTTTTTCACATGTGGTTTCCAATAATTGCGAGACCCTTTTTATCCTCTCTCTCTCTTTTCTTTTTTAACCTTTGGATCGGTTCTTGCTTGAGTCAAGTTCTTATCTGAGATGCGAATGAACATGAAATGGTCATGGTCACGGTCAGCGGTGGCACAAATCAACCAAAGAGGTCAAAACTTTGAGCACCCAAAAATTATCTTCAATATATTATCAATAAATGCAGCGCTTAAAACTCTTCTTTTCACACCTAACATCTATGGGCTATGGCAGACCATTGAAAAACAAGTTAATTAGATTTAGGAGAACTGAAAACAAGAAGGGTCAAAAACTGAAAGCTTCAAACTCACTTATCTCAAAAACCTGGTTTTCTTTTTAGATACTGGTATTGAGAGACACGCCAACCTTTTGATTCCTGAGAATATAAGCCTTTTACAGATGCACTTTTTGTGCTCAGTTAATTTAGGTTTGTTTGTCCCCAATTTTACCTTGCAGGGTTCTATTCACTTTAACAAGTACACATTATTAAGGAAAGTTTATACTATTCACAGGCATAAAGAAATTATTTTATGCTAATAAATAAAAGTTTACCATTTGAATTTATTTCATATGTCCGTAGCAGAAACCTAGTGCAATTGTGGTGTTGATTTAGAATATAATTAGAATTTAGTTGTGCAATTATTAAAGACTTTTTAGCACCCAAATTCGGCTGGCCTTGTTGGCCATAAGAGGCTTATAAGGTAGCACTTTGGGTTCGGGATTGCAAAGCTGCACATCCTTGCACATGGGTTAGTATCCCACGTGAAATTCGATCCACTGGACACGTGCGAGCCGCAGAGTTTTGCAGAGAGAATTCAAAACTTTTATGACACTGAAAGAAGATGAATGAATGGTTTAAACTCCAATCAATCACATTGAATAAAATAATTAGAATAAGGGTGTGAGTGTGTATTATTATGCCGTCGAAAAGAGTGGTTATGTATAAGAAACCTTATCTAAGTGGTTTTAATAAGAGAATCTTTAGGAGATCACGTCACATTTGCTTCCTTGGATACAAGCATGTCTAGAAAATGGGAGAGTTGTTTCATTAATTATTATAAATCTAATACGTTACTAAGATTGGCATGATACTGATTGCCCCCCTTTAAATAAGGATCTTAGACACCCTGTCCATCCATCTCTACTTGGTACCCTATGCTATCTTCTTATTAACAACTTGTAAGATTCATCATGACGTGTCTAATAACCTTCTTTTGATGTGCTGGTTTGATTACGAACGTAACCCAAATTCATGACAGATACCCTCCTAATTAATTGAGGGTCCCTAAATTATACATATTAAGAAAAATGTATGATTAACTGGTACTAATTCCATCATCCAAATCAGTGTTAACTTATGCTTAATAATTGTATTCTACCTACTTAATTAGATTTAGGTGAGAAACCGAATATGTTTGCTTAACAGCTTTTATTTTCTAATATAGTTCAGTTTAAGGTTTAACTAACATCTCTTTATAATAATAAAAGCATTAGCAACCCAATGATGATAAATTCTGCTATCTTTCTCATCATTCGAAAAAAAAAAAACTCTTCCTGTTTCATGGAGGTTGAAGTAGTGGTTAAGGGAGTCTATTTGATTCTTTCTTCACCTTTAGTTTTTCACCTTTCTTGGTTAGGGAAAACCCAGCAAGCTTCCAATCTAAGCTTCCCATGCACTTTATTATTTGAAGTCAACTTCCCAAAAACTATGAGAAGTCCAATAATATAATAAGGACTCCTAGCTAGCCGAATCAATGTGGCTATCTACCTTATATGCTGAAAAATAATTGCCAATAATAAGGAATGACAACAAATGGAGGGTGGAGGTAGATCCAAAAGAATGTAGAAGACGACGGCACCCATTATAGTTGTATCAAGCAGGGGTCCAAGCAAAAGGGCAAACTGTCCTCTTAGACAATTAATTAATTTATTGATTCCTCCCTTGGTAAATTCCATTCACAAAAGAAGATGAGACATAGCATGTGTCTTTCCACGACAAAAATGGGCGCATGATATGTTGTTCACTGGAAGACAGCAATTTCTACCCATTTAATTCCTGACCTAGTAGTGACCCATTATTCTTATGCAATGCCAAGCATAGAACTTCATTAGCACCTTTAAATTATACAAGTAATGGAGAATATATACATAAAGTAAAGAATTCAAACATGCATTAAAGTGAATAAAGAAGTTTGTTTACAATGGTCTCTATCAAATGAAACAAGTTGACACTGTAGCCCATGCAAGCAATAGTTCCATCAATTGATGATCTCCAACCAGAAATGGGCCCTCTTCATCAAATAAACACTCCCTCCTCACCTCTAATTTCCACAAACCTAGCTGTAGATGAGTTGCAGAGATGTTTATGGAAGAAACCAACCATTGTCTACCCGTACTTGTCTCTGTGTCCAATGGTCCCGAACCAATGGGAACAACAATAACAAGATAGCATTACAATAATTTTGCACAGCTTGTTTGGCTGTATCTTTTTTATCAGAGAAGAACAGTGACCATGATTAATTCAACTCTATATTGGAGTTGAAGCTGGTTAACTTGGATTAAGACGTTTTGTAGGGGGGTTCAGTTGAGCTGAGTTTTTTTTTTTTCTTTTTCCTTCTCGGGCCTTAACTTTGAGAGTAGAAAAGAGAGGGTTGTTTGGTTATGTAAATGGGTGAAAGATTCGGAGCAATCATGTTGGCAGGATGTTTTCCGAAAAACACAATAGAGCTTCTTATCATGTCAAACCCATACGTCTGCTGCAATAATGTATTTTGTGGTCCTCATTTCATTAAATTCATATAAACCATTATTTTTTTATGTTCACTACGTAGTTAATAACTTAATAAATGTATAACTTAGGTATTTTACTTCATTTAAGTATGGCTATTAAGTGATAAAAACATAAATGAATGAATTATTATTAAAATTTAGTATATATATATTATTGGTATAATTGAGTTATACTATAACTTCAATGTGAAATCTAAGTAATTAACCTTAAGGGGTTTGTCTGACGGTCAAAAAGATTTTCTCTTTTCATTGATTTATTAGGTTTGAATCTTTGGATCACCTATCACATTTGTAACTTACCTTGGAACACTAGACTTGTAAGATGTTTAATGGGTTCTGAGG